ACTTCTCTCCCCTCCCCAGCCGAGCCTGCAGCACAGCCTGGACCAGCTCTGCGTGGTGATGGAGGCTGTGGTTCAGCCCGAGCGGGGCACAGAGGAGGAGGCTTCCCATGAAGAGTCCCCTCTTTTATCCAGTGGAGTGAACCTAAATAAAAAGCCTGTGACCTGCAACGAGCTGCTCCACCTCGTTCCTGAGGGCCCACCAGAGGTAATGGGAAACATCCCTCCCCAATGGACAGAGCCACCAAATCACCTTCCCAGGCACCTCGACTCCAATTCTTGCCCCAGCAGCTTGCCAGCCATGGGGACACCTCCTTTTTCACCAGTAGAAGCACCTGGAAGCCTGTAGGTCCACACACACCATCTCCAGCCCTGACACTGCTGAGCAGTTAGTGCTTAATCCTTGTGGAACTAACGGATTGGGCTTTTCCTTGCTGGTGGTGGTGGTGGGGTCCCTGTTTGGAAGACAACCTCTCCCAGGGTCTGTGCAGGGACCCAGCACCTGTGTCTGGGCTGGGGATGACCCATGGCCATGTCTCCTCCATGAAATATGCTGTCAAAGACTTGTGCCCTGCTGAGCAACAAATGTTTTTTCAGCAAGAAGCTTCAAAAGGGAAAATTTTGATTTATTTTAATTTTCTGCTCACTGCTGCTAAGTGCATTTGGTGCAGGTGACATTCCTGCAGGTTGAAGCTCTCTGGCTGTCTACAGGCAAAAAACAAGCCCCAAAGCAGTGACAGAGCAGGCAGGTCCCCAAGCAGCCTGGCTGTCCAGCCACCCACCACTGAGTGGTCATTTCATGTCACTCCCCCGTGGGGACAATGTGCCAGCACCGCTGACCAGAAGGGGATCTAGGACAGTTATGTGTGTCATTGGCTCTCATCCTGTTCCTTTCAGACAAGGACAGTCCTTGAATGAGGGAGCAAATGGTATTTGATGTATCACCCACTCTTCCTGCAGGTGGATGCTCAGCTCTGACATCTCTTGTGCTCGTTCCAGGTGATGGCCCAGCAGCTCCTGGTGATCTTCAGCGGGTGCTACGTCCGGCTGCTGGTCACTGGGCAGCTCCCTCGGGCCCTGGCAGGGGGGCACCTGGAGCACAGCCCCCTGCCTTGTCTCTGCCAGTTCATCCAGACCACCGCCCTCAAAACGCCCCGGAGCTGGTTCATGGGCCGGGGACCACAGGGGGCTGGAAGGTGCTGAAATAAAAGCTGCCCCTACACAGCCGTGTGAAGAAGCCCTGGGGAGGAGGAGAGGCTGCAATCCCTCAGCTGGATGAGCAGGGTGGAACTATGGCTCTAATAAAACACTCAAGACACTCACCAGAAAGCTGCTTACCCTTGAGACCTGCCTGCCCACCAGCTTGGTGTGAAGGAGCTGCTCTGGGGGTGAGAAACAACCCAGGGACAGGGAAATTTCCCACTTCTCTTACTAGGGGTGTTGTGGAGCAATGGGAAATACCTGCAGGGTGAGCCCCGTGCCTCCATCAGGAAGGACGTGGGGTGTTGTAGCAGAAGGGAGATGGGGAAAGCTGTGCAGAGCTGGGCTCAGCTGTGATGTTTGCTCTGGGTTATGTCTGTGTCATGTGGCTGTCAGGGGTTGTGAGCTTTGTCCTGTGACAGGCAGGAACTTAAGACAGACGTGACATAAGAACCAGCTCAGGATGGTGCCTGGTACCCCCTGCTTCCCCTGGGAGGATGGTGATGGACATCTTGATCCATGGGATTAAGCCTTAAAGAAGGCCCTGGGTAGGGCATCCTGGAGGACGTCTCTCTTGAGGCTCTCCTTTCTGCTCTGTTTTGGGACAGGCTGATTGCCTTTGGTTGTCCTTCCCTCCCTTCTCCTCACAATGTCTGCACACAGCCTGGCAGAGGAGCCAGGGGTGGGCAGGAGACTTCAGCAGTTGTGTGGAGTCCCTGAGGGAATGGGAAATGAAGTGCTGTGAGCCTGCAAGAGGTGGTGTGCTCAGGTGGTGCCCAGGAATGGAAAGCTGCTGCATGGCCCAGAGGCTGCTGGTGTCCCCCTCTGTCCCCAGAGCCAGGTATTGCCATGAAATTCAGGGGGCTGCATGCACTGAGGTTTACCAGACCCCCTAACCACACGGTTGGGTGGTCACAGCTGTCCTAGGAAGTGGCCAAGGGCCAGAATAAAGAATCCTAAGTTCTGTGTTTTCCAGCCTTGCTGTGGCTAGAAGTGTGTGTGTGGTTCTCGTGCCTGTTCTCCACCTCCCAGCCCTTCCTCCCCATCTCCTGCAGAGCCCCACAGCCCCCGGGGCAGGGCTTGTGCCTCTCCCATCTTAACAGAGACGTGGGACACCTGCCCTGCACAAAGCCAGGAGGGGTTTAAAGTCAAGGTCCCTGGTTTGTGCACACCCCTCCCTTGTGGACCTCCCATCCTGCCACCGAGCATCCCCCCATCCTATGGCACTGTGCCAGAGAAGTTTTGGTACCAAAAGCCAAAACATCACTCAGGGTTCAGCCTCTTGCTGAACCCTGGGGAGCCAGAAGCTTGTGGGCAGCTCTCCCCAGGGGTGCAGGATGACTCTGCTCCCTCCCCAGCTGTGTTTAGCACAAGGAGGGGTGAGATCAGCTCCATCTCTTCCCACCCCAGCCTCAGCACTGACCAACGTGCATCCCCCAGCACCCATCCATCCCAACACCACCGTGACAGCAAACACCCCCCAGGAGAACAGCCACCGTGCTCCCAGGCAGCCTCTTCCATCCACCTTTATTCGTGGCTCAGCTGGGGCTGTCACAGGAGGGGGTCGGGCAGATTCCTCCCCGCTCAGGCGGGGTCTGGGACTCTGCTGTCATTGCTCTCTGTGACGGGCATGGGGGGGGTTCCACCACGGGCTGGGTGTCCCAGGGAGGGCAGCTCCACCAGCTCACTGGGAAGGGGGCTGGACAAAATGTCATGGGGTTTCCACAGACCTCAGTGCTAAGGCTCCTCACTCCAGCTCGGGAGCTGATTCCACCTCTGTGGAAATGGAGCACACACGGATGTCATGGGGAGCACTTGGTTTCACAGCACAAAAACCTGATTTGCTGCTAGGCTGCAATGGCTCATGCTCTTCCCTGGCACTCCAGGGCCCAAAAGTGCCAGGGTGGCAATTCTTTTTCCTGCCAGATGGAGAATTCTGGTAACAACAGATTGATCAGGGCTCTGTGTCGTTGTGGGTCTGTGTTGAGAGCAGATACAGGAGGGATCGACTGGTATTTTCTAATCCCTGGGTCACAGGATTCCCAGCAAATGGATTCCCTGGGGAAACTGGTGGGAAGAAAGCTCGTGGCCTTCAGGGCAGGACCACGAGGGCTTTTACCCTCAGGACCTGCAGGGCTGGTCTTGGATGGGGTTGCTGCTCCTGGGAAGCGAGGCTCTTGCTTGGGGACTTGCTGGTACTTCTGCCTTTACATCTGCAAATCCACAAACATCAAAGAAAGAGGGATTCAGGATTAGCCAGGGGGAAGGATTATTCCTGCAGGGACAAGGCTGGGCTGTGAGTTGGCAAGGTGCTTGGAAAGCCTCCTGATGGGAACCATAACCAACGTCAGGTGAGAGCGAGGGAGTCGGGGTGGGTTTGTGACACAGAGCTCTCCAGCAGAGCCCACCTGGCTGCAAGGAGGGCTAAAGCTCCATGGTCTCCACGCTGTAACCTGGACACCACCAGTGCCTCCAGATCATCCCCATTTCCCAACCAGATCAGTCTTCTGCTGAGCTGTACGCTCCTCATGCCCTGTCCTGGAACAGCTCTCCCTGGGGTGCTGCAAAGTCCTGGCTCCTGTTGTAGGCCAGATAACTCACACTCTGCCTCTTCAGCTGCACTTAGTCAAGGCATTAGTGAAGGGAGCCACCCCTTCCATCACCCCACTGAGGACCCAGCTGCTGTTTTAGGGGAGAGGTGATATGCTGGAGATTTTATAGGCCCCTGTAGGCAGGTGGTTCCCTTTCCTCCCATTGCACCCAGCACACGGGAGCAGCAGAATTGGAATGGCTCAGCCCTGCATCTTCCCTGCGAGTCTCCTGTGCCAGCCCTGAGCTCCTGGCAGAGGTAGGAGACCACGGGGCACGGCCTGACCCCCGTGGCAGCTGCCTGGGAACGTGCCTGTGCCTGGGTGCAGCTCTGGGCACATTTGCACATGAGCGAGCAGGACTCAGCTGAACCAGTGAAACTGGTATTGTTGGGGCAGAGCTTCCCCATGCTGAGGCTCCTCTGTCTGCTCTGCAAAAATGATTTCTTCCTGAGTTTTGACACTGGAGCACGCGGTGGATGCGGGAGCAGCTCCATGGTGAGAAGAGCTCACCAGGAGCAGCCCCTGAGCCTGGGGCATGGACCAGGAGCCAGGAAGGTCCTTGGTGGGTACGTGCTGATTCGGGGGCAGCCAGGAGGAGCAGCTGCTCTCAGGGGCATTGCATGAGCAGTCTGCAAAGTTACAGTGATTTGTGTGCCTTAAATGGGCCAGGGAGGGGCTGGGGGAGGATTTGCAGCAGGGGCAGAACTCTCCCTGCCAGCTGGACGTGTGGGGGTGCACTCGGGTGTTTAGCAGGGTGTCTGGAATAACAAAGATTGCCCCAGGGGGATGTAGCTCTAGGGAAGTGGTGTTTCTGCAGGTTACCTCCAGCCACCCCTCTGAGAACTCCCAAAGTCTGTCCTTCCTCCCACAGGCTGCCCTTTGCTCACCCTCTCTGTGGGGCTGGGACGCAGCCATGACATTTAAAGGCAAAACTCAGTGAAGGAAGATAAAGCAGGAAAGGGAAGAAACTTTTGCAACTTGTCCCTGTTAGGGTTCTTCTCAGCCAAAGGGCTCAGCTCTGAGGAAGACCATGGCCACTGGAGCACAGCCAGGGAGGGATGGGGACCCAGCACATCTCCCCTGCAGGCAGGACAGTGGGCAGCAACAGGAGGTGTCCCCTCACCCCCCCCAAGGTCCCTCCATCCCCAGGGAGGTCCAGGCTGAGGCATGGAGGTGTCCCTGTCCCCTCCAGCTGCAGACTTACTGTGGTGGTGCTGGGGGGCTGCCTGTGCCGGGCAGGGCGGTGGCTCCCGGTGCTCCTGGCTGCACAGGGTCCTCAGCTTCCTGGCCACATAGCGACAGGCTGGGGGAGGAAAAGAGAGACCTGTCTGCTGGCTGCAGCAGTGCCAGACCCCAGCTACCCCAAAGCCCCTCCTGGAGAGCCCCCTCGCCGAGGAGGAGCAGCTGGGGGCTGTGCTGGACCCGTCCCAGGCTATGGGCCAAAAACAACAGAGGAAATGGAGGCGCCCGGATTTAACGGGCTAAGAGGGAGTCGCTGTGTCTCCAACCACTCCAGCAGCAGCTTTTCTCCCCTCCCGAAACCAAGGCCATCAAATAAGCGGTGTGTTTACCGTGCAGAAATCCCTCTAAGCTCTCTCGCCTCAAAGGAGAGGTTTCCTTACCGTTGATAATGACTCAGACCATTTTCTCTGGGGCTCAGCAAAGCTCTCCTCTCCAGCCAGCCTCTCTCAGCCTCTCGCAGGCAGCTCTGCAGCGCTTTGGTTTATTTACAGCTTCCTCCTCCCGTCCCTCCCGCGGGCTGGTTGCTCCGGTAGGAGCGGGTCGGGCGTGGGGAGGTTGGCTCAGCCTCTGGGCAGGGCTGGGTGTGCTGCCCTGGGAGCTCTGCTCCTCCTGGAAAGTGCTCAGAGCGTCAGCTGCAGGCAGAGGCGTTGAGGTTTGAGCCAGCCGTGCCAGAGAGGTGGCTTGGCCCAGGCTGGAGGAGCTGCTTTGTGGCCGATGGAGGACCTGGGTCTGAAATGCAGGAGGCAACCCTGGTGCTGGGGTGTCTAAGCTGAGCTGGAGAGGGTTGCTGCAGCTTCACTTAGATTGTGTGGACCAGGGGTGAAGAAAGGGAGGTCTCCTCTCCTTTCCTGCTGCTCTCTGAGCATTGCAGGGTTGAAAATGTCCCTCCCTCCCCCAGCCAGACCTTCAAACCCTGTTACACCATGTCCTGTTGTAATCAGGGGAAGGTGAGGGTGATGTCCCTAGCAGGCAAGAGGCAAGAAGTAGCACTAGACTTGGTTTCTTCAGGGTCTTTCCCCCACACCACCTCTAGCACTGCTTGATTTTTGTCCACTGCAGCTGATTTCTAAAGAAATGCAGGTTTTGTGTATCCTTGCTGTGTACTCCTTACTCTTGGAGCCAGGTGAATTCTGAAAGCTTCTGCTCTGCCCTTTGACCAGGGCAATGGGCTTCCTATCTCCAAAGCAGGCACTCGCTGATTCAGGCAGGTTGGACTTTGGTTTCGAGGGATTTGCCTTGGATTATGTGAGTTTGGTCAGAGATGTGACTGATGGAGTGCAGGCATTGCAGAGTCTGCAGCCTGGGCTGCTGCACAAGAAAGTGTGAGATAGGGAGGAGCTAACATCACTTCACCCCACCCTCCGTCTTCTTCTGTGCTCCATGTTGGGAGATTTGGGTAAGCTCTGATGCCCTGGGCTGAAAACTGTGAGATGCAGCATGGAAACCTTTAGTCCACCTGCTGTCCTGTCGTGCTGCTGTGTGGTGTTAATTAAAGGCAAAGGCATGACCAGGCACGAGGAGCAATCTCTGTTCTAAACCACAGAGGCTCCACACCACCATAAGCCATTGAAGCCTGCAGGAGTGTGTGATGCCAGATCTGTAGGTGTTGGAAAGAAATAAATCAAGAAACAAAAAGACCCCCAAATCCTGAGCATCCCCCTCCAGATCTCCCTCCCTAAACCCTTCCAGCCTCCAATCCTCTCTGGAGGACCCATCTTTCCATCCTACAGAAGAGCTTGCCAGGACAAGGGGAGTGATTGCACCTCAGCTTTGTGCTGTAGCAGTGGAGGTGGCTGGAGGAGTCAACTGCTCTTTGCTTCCAGCTGTGTGGCTCCCCCAGCTCCAAACCCCGTGTGTCAGATGGGTGTTCCCTCTGCCACTGCAGAGCTGAAGCCTTGGGTTTGCAGACACATCCCTCTAGATGGTGCTAAGCTAAAGAGAAAAGGCTGGTGGCAAGAGGCCTTGGAGGAGAGGTTGTCCTGTGGGTCACACCTCTGCACATCTGGCCCTGCCCAAGCTCTCCTGGGCTGGGGGAACATCTCCACCCCCAGCGAGGTGCCCACACATTCCTGCCAGGGCTCTCTTCTGCCACTCGTGGTGCCTGCTTGCAGGAAACTCTTCTCAAGCTCTTCTTCCACTTCACATTTCCCTTGCTGATGTGTGAGGCTCCACAAACGCATCATGATTTTAATCTGTGCATCTGCTCCTATCCATGCACTAAATCAGGCAAGCTGATTTTTAATGGAAAAAAATCCATCTTAGCTCCTTTTTTTTCCACCTCGACCAGTTTTGCTGAGCAGCACAACTAAGACTCCATCAGCCGAGTCCTCTTCTTTCTCACGCATCATTAGCCAGCAACTTCACCAAATTCAAGCATAGATAATGTATGATTTATTGCTGTGGGCAATGGAGAGAGGATTCAGCCTGGCTGCCAGAGAACAGCAAGGATCATTGAGGACTAGCTGTGAAGGGGAAGTGTTTCAGATCCACAGCTGAACAGATTTTACCTTGGAGCCACAGATGGGCAGTAAATCAGTGATTGAAAGAGAGCTATTGTTGGAGGAGACTTTCAACAAAGAATAGCCACAATCAGGTCTGGTTTTCTTCCCACCAAGTATAAATAGGGGGACAGCAAATCTGTTGACCTCCATGGTACTGTACTGATGCAGTGCTGCTGGGAGAGGAGAGCTGAGCTCCTCTCCCCATGCCTCGTTCTGCAGAGGGGAAAGATGCTCAGAGATGCTGGTGGTACCAGGGCCCAGCTGCTGGTTTGGGTAGGGCAGCAGAAGACAGCTCGTGGGCACAGGCAGGCTCAGCTTGAGTGGAGCTGAGGAGTGTTCAGCTCCCATCTGGGTTTGTAACCTAGAGAGCAGCCTCAGAAGGGACTTCTGGTGTTGTCACGTTCCTGTGCAGTCAGCTCTGGCTGCTGCCCCAGCACCACCACTGCCCTCAGCCCTGCAGAGGCTGTTGCAGGTTTTCATTACTCCCCCATCCAGCTTTGCTGGCCTGAGCTTTGCATGTGGTTTCTACTGATACAGTGGAGACAGCCTGTTTTTGCCAAGTTCTCCTTCCAAGAATGGCTCAGCTCCATTCTTGATGAGACCAT